TCCCGGCCAATCAGGAAGCCGGGGGGAAGGTCATTACCCCCCTGGCTTCCTGATTGTCCGGGAAGCAGACTCCATATGCCCTGGTGACAAGGGAGGATGGAGCCTGCTTCCCTGCCAATCAGGAAGCCGGCAGCGTGTAATGACTCACCGCCCGGCTTCCTGATACATGAAGTTCCGTTATCGGAGTAAGCATTGGGAGCATTGGGAGGCACTGATACCGATACTAGTGTCAGTATTGGTGCATCCCTGGTTAAAATAAGCCTTTGCAGTGTCATTTAGCTTACATAACAAATGGGTCCTCCATACATGCACAAGATTACCTTTGGTGTCTTTCTGTTTTTAATGACTTCTTAGGACCTAATAAGTTCTATTGATTTTCTTGCTGCAAACACTGTACTCTGATGTATCTATCGACCGGACTGCACTTATTAATTAATCTTTTTCATTATTACATTAGCAACTTTATGATATTCAAAAATACATACAAATCAAGTGACAATACTATTATTGATATTTTATGACATGCCAATGATATTGTATTAAAGCTGAACTCCGTGAGAAATAAAAGCGCCCCGAGCTTAAATGCTCGTTTTGTCTAAGGGGAAAATAAAAAGCAACTTTACCTTATTCCTAGGTGAGTCGAGGGAGATAAACATTTCAAAGCTTGTACAATATACAATGTAGATAGATACACATTCAAAGCAGTAAGTTATAAATCCCTAATGAACCCACACTTTTTTTTAAAGAAACTGTCATTAAATTGGTGCATCCTTATTGGCTAGTGTGTCAGTCCATCCTATTAATGGGCCATTGGGAATATAGGGGCAAGGTAGCTGCAAGTTTCAACACTTCCTAGAAGCGCTGGAGCTTTGCATGTGAAAATGGTTTAGGATGTAGCCATAAGGGGCAGAGTATTGGAAGCTGTCGCAGGCACCTCTAATAGGCATTTTTTTTTGAGGGGTAGTAATGACATAACCTTCTGAACCCTGAGTCTACTGCCGTTTCTCTGTTCAGATGAGCATAGGCAGACATGACTGGATAGTGTAGGCGAACAGCAATTACTAGCTAGCTTGAGGATGACTGCTGATATTTCTGTGCATGCTCCAGTATTTATGCATTCCCCAAAGCAATCCTTTTACTGTGTATTCACCCAATGCTCATTCACTTGGTACTCAAGTTATAGAATTCCTGCATCAGCTCAGACATCAGAGGATTCATGAAGGTGGAGGGAAGGGGGCTGTGTAAGGAAGGCAAAACAGTGATTGCTTATTATTAGGGATCTCTATGGGGTCTCACACATTTTCATGTATCAGCTAGAGCTACCAGGCAAAAAGCACGTAACATGATAAGAAGAAGAAAATTAATTTACTGTTTTGGCTCAACAGCCTTGTTCAGGTCACAAAATGGCTCATGCAGAACCCTTGCCAAAACTAGTTTTAGGTAGAATGTGGAGAATAACATGTCTCTATTTCTAAATGTATATCTTGAGAGGTGGGAGAAATTTTCCCGTACTTATTGTCAATGGAACAGGAAGTAAGCGGAAATCCCTCCTATGGGACCACAGCCAGCACATAAAACATAACTGGGATTCTAACCTTTTGCCATCCATTTTCCAACAAATCTAAGTAAAAAAATGTGTTGGCTGAAGGTGCCCTTTAAAGCAGACATTGTAAGAAAATGCAAGGTCTTCTTATCTAGGAGTCCCCAACAACCTGATTTAAAACACTCAGTGAAAGGCATAAATAATTGAAAGTAAAATGTTACTGATATCCAGCTTACACCCCAATTCCCCTAACTTTGGAGAAATTTAACTTCCTGTGATGTCTACCAATCAGGAAGTGAAGGAAAATCTCCTGACAAAAGCGTGAGTGTATTTAGGCGCTTTTAAAGCATTTTTCATTTATTTTCAAGCTTCAGGCATTTTTGTTTTGGCCAATGGAAATTAAGATCATATTTGACATTGTAAAAATAATCAATTACTACTGCTTACAAAAAATATCACAGGGCTCAATGTCTACCAAGGTTTGCACAGTGAAAATATTTAAAATTTTGACTTCTAAAGGTAACAATTATTACCTCGCAACCAACTTTACACAGGGTTCACACATCGGGGCTGATGCCAAGTATTTGGGTGAGTACTTGTACTCGGCCAAATACTCCCAATGCTTACTTCGATATTGGAACTTCCGGTATCAGGAAGCAAGGCGGTGAGTCATTACATGCCATCGGCTTCCTAATTGGCCGGTAAGCCGGCTCCATGCTACCTCGCCACCAGGGTGGTGGCTTTATGGCCAATCAGGATGCTGGGGAGTGGGTAATGACTCGCCGACCGGCTTCGTGGTTGGCCAGCTTCACAACCAAACAAGAAGCCGGGCGGCGAGTCATTAAACGCCGCCTGGCTTCCTGATTGGCCGGGAAGTCGGTCCCATGCTCCCTCGTCAACAGGTCACGAGGAAGCATGGAGCCGGCTTTCTGGCCAATCAGGAGGCTGGGGGGTGGGTAATGGCTTCCTGATTGGCTGGAAAGCTGGCTCCATGCTCTCTCATCACCAAGTGACGCGGAAGCATGGAGCTGGCTTCCCGGCCAATCAGGAAGCCGGGGGGAAGGTCATTACCCCCCTGG